GCTATTCCAACTCCACAACCCCAAAACCCCAAAACCCCAAAACCCCAAAACCCCATTTAACCAGAGCAAACTTGGCTTTAAATAAAATATTACTAAAAATATGAATAACCAACACATAAGAGTAAATACGGACGTAGACATGCTCTTTGATCCTCCTCATATTGATGATTTTGCAGCTCTCGATTGTGATTATTTAGACATTAATATAAATGCCAACATCTGCAACTTAGCAGATGAAAAGGAAGAACCATTGCCTTGTGATGATAAAATTCCCAATATTGAGTCATTTGATAACTCAATATGCTTAGAAGAAGATATACTTAGCGAAGAGCAGTTATTCTTCTCTAAGTCAAAAGAAAAGAGAAGTACAGCTGAGTCTGGTGATGTAGAGCATGATTCAAGTAACACCCTTCAAAAGGAAAGTGAACCTCTTTCGCCTATGTCATCTACTTCAGACACAAATACTTCTGAGAAGAAAAGATCTCCTACTGCTAAGAAAGGCCAATTCTCAGCAAATCTAATGCGCAAGGATTCGTTGCTTAAGAAAGGCCTGAGAGGAAGCAACCAGGTTATAAAAGAATACATTTGTAGACAGCTCAAGACAGAAAAACCTAGCTTTAGAAGGAAGCTGAAGGATAACAGTCAAATATTTAAACAGTGGTTAGATACGCTACTACACGAAAACTTTGAAGAAGACCTGCTAAACTACGATGTTCAATTAAATACTGCAAACAAAAGAGTGCTGTTTTCTATTATCTCCCACATTTTAAAAGGCAAAAGGTTTTATAAAAAGTTTATCTTTGATGGAATCCAACAGAAGGAAAAGTTCCAGATCATCAAACATGCAGAGGACTACTTTAGATTTAATGACAAAGATAAAGGCTGTGGAGCAAGCAGAGATTACTCTTTGAGAAGCCCTGCAATAGCTCTGAGCAAGGTCCTCCTCCTCAAGGATGAGCCTTCCGTCGAGGCATTTTGGACCAAGATATTAGGAAGAAAAGGAGTCTCTATTCCTGATGTCAATTCCTTCAAGAAGGGTATCGCCAGTGTCATGGATATCAATAATCTTCTATAATTCTGATAATAATTTGTTAAAAACGTTCTAGCTTTAGGATAAAAAAATTTTGTAAACATAATGCGACAACTATTCTCCGGGACAGTAGAGATTTGTTTAGCCCACTAAACTACTAATTATGAGGGGTACTTCAAGACTCAGTTCGCAAAAAGAGTAGGCATTGCAAATTAAAAAGAATAAAAATAAACGAAATCAGCCAATTTTTTCCAAACCTCGATCTTTTTATTTAAATTATATAAGTTTACGAACATAAGACCTCAATAAATTTAGGAATTTTGTCAATATTTAGCAGTTTTACTGCCTTAATTTTCAAAGAATCAGTGTAATTATTCTCAAGAGCTTTCTCCCACAAAAGCACTATTCATATCACTTCAGATGAAATGCGGAAGTTTTTATAATATTAAGAGAATTCTAGATTTTGTTTTTCTCATTTTCAGCGAAAGTTGATAACAAGGGGTTTTGGGGTTTTGGGGTTTTGGGGTTTTGGGGTTTTGGGGA